GTGTGTGTGTGTGTGTGCGCGCGTGTGCATGCACTCTGTTAATGTAGTTCCTTTCATTCTGAATACGACAGGAAAAGGGCGACTCCGGTGTAAAGAGGGACATCGATGGGATGGGAGTCCCAGAGATCAAGTACGGCGACTCGGTCTGTTTTGTCATGCATGTRGCAACAGGGCTGTGGCTTTCTTACCTGGCACCTGATGCCAAATCATCTCGCCTTGGTCCCCTGAAAAGAAGGGTACGTATGGTTTTCACACAGCAGAGGACAGAATATTTTCAGTTATCTTTAAGGAAAGCTGTTCATCAATGCAGCTAGGAAGATGCATTTCCACAAATATCCATTCATTTCACCTAGAGACCAGATTTGAGCAGATAGATTTAGCATGGTGCCACAGTGGAAGATGAGTGCTGCTTTTCTCCAGAGAGGCCACCTTCAGCCCATGCTGTGCCCTCCCTGCAGGTCTGGCAGCAGGCCAGCCCACCTGACAGGTTGGAGGTGACAATCATCCTCCTGCCTCACTGACTGCTCCGGTTTAACCTGGTGTGGCGGTGTGGGCTTACACACAGATGGAAAACTATTCTTTTTTTAAAAGTTATAGTTTGCATTTTTTTTTTATCTGACTGGGCAGTTGGGTTTTTAGAAATACAATTCATCAAAAGTTACTGGACGTATGGAGCTGAGCTGGGGCCATAAAGTTTGTTAAAAAAACTTTTTTCTTTTTAACTAAAACAAAAAATTAAATTGAAAACATTTTTGGAAACTGTAATAAAAAGGTTTGAAACTGAAAAACAATTTTGAAAAAAAAATTTCAAAAGAGTTGTATAGCAAGCTGTTGTATCATAGTGAACTATGTATGGCAGGTCATTGTATCATATTAACATAATGTGGCAGGCCGTTGCATCATATATTACAAAAATATGGTAAAACTACTTGTATCATATAATAAGATGGGTATGGCATACTGTTGTATCATATTAAAACTGCGGCATGCCCTTGTATCATACAATTAACTAGGTATAGCAGGTTGTTGTATCAATAAAAATATGGCAAGCCGTTGTATCATATATTTAACAAAATTATGTCAGGCCGTTGTATCATATAATTAAAAGTATGGCAGGCCGTTTTCAWATAATCAAACAAGATGACATTTTTTTCCTGTTTCAAATCTTTTTTTTTTTGTCAGTTTTAAAATGTATTTTTTTTTCTTCAAAACATTTTTGAACAAACTTCATTGCTCTAATCTAGGTTCTTATAGATCAGTAGAATAATAGTGTGTCTGTCCTGGTGCAGGCCTGCCTTCACATTGAGGGCCACATGGATGACGGCCTCATCCTCCAGCGCTGTCAGCATGAAGAGTCTCGAGCTGCTCGCATCATCCGAAACACCACATTCCTCTTCAAAAACTTCATCAAGTAAGAACCGAGACATGTTCTCACATAATTCTGCAAAGGAAAACAGCGGCGTAAATGCCGGTCCTKGTTCTTGGTCTTCAGAGCTTTGGACAGCGCCGCAGAGAGTGAGAGCAACGCCGTGGCCGGGTACGTGGAAGAGGTGCTGCAGACCCTGAACGATCTGATCGAGTACTTCAAGCAGCCCGATTCAGAGCTGGAGCACGAGGAGAAACAGTGTCTGCTCCGTTCGCTCATCAAACGTCAGGACCTCTTCAAAGAGGAGGTGAGAGTTGTTGAAAAGGAGCTAAAACCTTCAGAACAAACCTCTTAGCTYTGTGACTCGTTATGTACGGTAATTTAAATATTTGATCTAAAGTCGAACTCTCCCATCAAAAGGAGGAATCCCATTTTAGATTGAAGTGGAACTGGCAGATTGTAGTCAGTTGCTTCAGATTTCACACTATTCTTTTTTGTTTTTGCAGTTAAACCACTTCCACATGTTTTTAACCAGCTCTATATTAAAATGTTAGAATTTATAGGGAAGAGTGTCACTTCTAGTCTTTGTAATTTTTTAAAGAATTATTTACATTTCTTTACAAAAACTTTCCCCATACATGTATATTGAGATCTGCTCTCTTTTGAGAGTTTGTCTTTATTTTTGCTTGATAATTTTAGTATTCATTTTTGCTGCGTATGGATTTTAGCTTCTGTTTTGGTATTATTAGCATTTAGCTACTGTTTTCCTAAAGTTAGCTTTTAGTTTGTTAGACTAACTGTAATTTTTAGATACAGATTTGCAAATGCTTACTTTTAGCTATGAATTTGCTATGTTTAGCAATCAACTGTTGTGCTACATTTAGCTTTTAGCTTCTCTTTTGCTAAATTAAGCTTTTAGCCACTGTTTTTTTGACTTCAGCATTTAGCTATGGTTTTTCTAAAGTTATTTTAATGTATTATAGCCTTTAGCTTAGATTTTTACTATTCTGTACTATTCTTAGATTTCGATTTTGTTTTTGCCGGCTTTTAGTTTTAGCTCCTGTTTAGCTAAATTTAGCTTTTAGTTACTGTTCTTTTAATTGTCCACTGTTTTTCTGAGTATAGATTTCATTCTGCTTGTTTTAACTTTGTTCTTGGTTTTTTTAGCCTCATTAATGCATTTCAGCAGTCATTCAGCATTCCCTCGATTTTCATAGAAAATGTTTATACATTTGCATTTTTACAAAAAAATAATTGTTTTTATCAAATTTTAAGCATTGTGTCAAGTAAATCTGTAGCCTATAAATGTTTAACCTTTTGAGATGTTAAAAAAAAGGTAATTTTACAAAAACAAAAATCATTTTGTGGTAAATCTATTGCATTAAATCCTGTATAATTCATGGATTGAACACACAAATCTGTGTGATATTTGACTGAACTTTATCATTTATAACAGCCAGATAATTGTACACATCCAGGTAATAATACACAGTCAGGTAGGGCTGCCATGATTAATCGATTAATCGACGACTAATCKATTATTAAAATAATCGATGACTAATTTAATAATCGATTAATCGTTTTTTGTTTTTTT